GAAGAATGGTGCAACATCTGTTCCCCAAAGACATTCATACAATTTATAAGAATTTTGTTTGTCTTTCTATAGAGGGAGACATGCAGAACAATGCTTGACAGTAGCACAAAAGAAAAAGTATGACAGCTTAACTGTATGCATTTGGCGTACACATGGCCAGAACACTGAGCCAAAACTATTTAAATAGTTGGGGTTTGTTCCAAGAGAAACAAACTCAAGCAGGTCTGTGCAGATCAACCCGTCGCTTAAACGTGAATGAGATCGTCCACACCTCCCACTCGAGAGACTGACAGCACACAGCACAAGGGAGTGCACGAGCAACAGACCAAACAAACCAACTTGGTACACACACACACACTTCATCCCTTGACCACACATACTCTCCACAGGCTGGCTTTATTTATTTTTATACAGGAATATAGAGGTTTAATTTGTCATGACTATTACAGTGAGGCAACAACAAATTCTAATTCAGAATCTGCAACTGCTCAAGCTTCCTGATGAGGTTGGTTGCCGTTTGCGGGTCAGCTGCATGCATCTATTTACTAGCCGAGGGAGGTCTGATACATATCCAAGTTCAGAGCAGATACAGTTACAAGCTGGCTCACATCGAACGGACGTCCGGCTAATGTAGCTGGGGGGCGGGGAGGAAGCGAGAGAGAGAGAGAGAGAGGGGCAGAGAAATTCCACCGGCAATTTCATTAGTGATCAAATGGAAGTAAGACGTGTCCCTTTCCCTCTCTCTCCTGAAGTGCTAACACAGCATGGGCCAACGAAATGGAAACTCAATCAGACGGGCCGAACGAGGCGCAGTACATGATCCACATGCTACAGTACAGACACTGGAAAAAACACACCTTCAATCTGAACACTGTCTTAAAACAGTAGTTTAAACATTTTGGGGAAACGCACTCGTTTTCTTTCTTGGATCGATACAGGCCCCCGTCTTCTGTGGGGGGGGGGGGGGGAAATAGCGAGCTTGCCCCTCTATAAAATGTCAATAACATACATCTACCAACACCAAGCTCATTGACACAGATCTTGTTTGTTTAAGCTGTACAAAACAGGAATGTGAAAACAATAATTTGTGGTTTTAGGAGGAGTGTAACTATTTCTTGATGACTAGCCTGCAGCCTTGATGCCAGAGGCTTGTTTTTTTTTATCTACGCCAACGCTAAAAAAAAAAAAAGTTTGATCTTGCAATCAGCCTCAGCTGTACTTTAGTGTGAAGTGCTAGCAAAGATGCTCCATCACAAGGATGGTTTGAAATGGTACACTTCCGGTCTCCTAAGTGGGCGTGGTCAGTGCATGCCCACTCTTATTAAATGGACCCACATGCACAAACGGGACCTATGGAGAGATGTCAGACCAAGGGAGCTGCCAGTGGACAGGTGCCCCGAGCAGCTGGGGGTTCGGTGCCTCGTTCGAGGAGGCAAACTGGCACCCAGCTACCAGTCCACACTTCGCACATGGTCTGAACGGGGATTTGAACCGGCGACCGACGAGACTAGAGAGAGTTTTACTTTCTCCTTGTTTCTTGTCTTTCTGCTAAAGCTAAGCTAACCACATCCTGGCTCCAGCTCTGTACTTAATGCACAGACATGAGTGGTATTCAGCTTTAGAAGTGTAGAGTGTAGGGGGGGGGGGGAGTACCGAGTGTAGTCTGAACTCAAGAGGTGGCAGCAGCATCTATAGTCTCTTTACAGAGCTGGAGAATCACTGGAGGATTTTTAAAGAAAGGATAAGCATCATACAATGAGTATCATGCAATCTGAGTAAGATCAGCCATTAGTGACTGCATCACGCTGGTGGGATGATAGCTGAGCCGAGAAGAGAGGAGGCTATGATGTGTCTGCGTCGTCACAGAAGACAACGCCTTTCCCAGAAATGCAGGATGAGTGTAACCGTTACAGCCCGACACTCAACCGGAAGATGAAAGGTGCTCTTTGACAATTTGACAAGTGACTATTCATACAATTAAAAGGCATCAAAAGGGTATTGTCACATCTCAGGATTACAAGGTCCATTTGAAAATCACTGTTTTGTAGGAAAGATATTCAAACCATGCAGCTTTATTTTGTTCACAACGACATTCAAGGGGTTACAAAATATGTAATATTTCCGAATTTGGAACCTAAAGTAAAATAATTCCTGCATTCTTTCATTTTTCAGATTGTCTCAAGATGTTGGGTTCTGGATGACAGAAGGGTCCGGCCCTCATTGGGGCTTAAAGTGGGCAGTTGGCCAGATGACACAGCCTATAGTACACTGCATCATTGTTTCTTCAGTGAGGAAAGCGACAACGCCACACCAAGTGACCCCACAGGCTTGTTGTGACATCTGGCCCTGGAATAGTGCACCGTTATCAGCCTGCGCCACTTAAGAGACAGACAACACACCAGAATAGCCCTCTTCACCTCTGCCTCGAGGTGTCAGTCAATGAGTCCAATGAGAGACTACCACCGGTTCATATTCTATGTGATGCATGAATGTTAGATGAGCGGGCGTTTTGTACATGAGGCACCTTGGTTAGCCCAAGGGGGGAAAATGTGGCCCCTAACCACCCTGATGGTCTAAACAAAAGCCTCCCTCATTAAATAGGTGGCTTTTACCGTGTGAAATCACACCTTTGCGATTTCCCCCCGAAGCTTAAACAAGTAAGCAAAAGCGGGTCATTCTCCAAGGCCTCGGTTATAATCCGCTGCAGGAAGCCCTGAGATCATTAAATGCACAAAGATGAAACCTGGATCAAACATGTGATGCCTTCAACCCAAAAGGCTGCAAAAACATGCCAAGCTTTCATGGAGCACGGCACACAGAGCTTCTCATTATTTGGATTATCTGAATCAGCTATTCTTCAAAACTTCATTTATTTGGCTTGTTTTGTCCAATCTATCATTAAATACCCAGAGATATCCAGTCTGCCATCACAGGAGACAGAGTTAACCAAAAAACATGTTTGATTAAACTAATCTACTCCAAAGGCTGCAACAAACATTTCATTAGGAGCTATTCTGCTGATTATTTTCTTAATTAAATCATATGGTGTATAAAAACGCCAGAAAACAGTGCAAAATATCCATTTCTCACAATCAACATTCCCTAAAGCCCAGCGTGAGGTCTTCAAAAGGTCTTGTTTTGTCCAAATCAACTGTCAAAAATCCAAAAACAAACCGCGAGGACTAAAAAGCTGGAACTAGAAAACGATGGTCATTTTGCTTCAAAAATGATTTGGCTTTTTGTGACTTTTTCTATCCAACAACTAATCAGACTAATTACCTCTATATTTCCAAATAAAAATCACATATATTCCGGTCTGAATTAAAAAAAGAAGCACCATAACAATAGCTTGATTCCTAAAAACACTACTAGATTACATTTCATTGTCCAAAACCCATTTACAATAGATTCACTAAAGCTTGATGGCAACAAGAGCTAGGGGTCATCATTGGAGTGACTTCCTCTCAAACAACTAAGAGTGTGTTCACCGTCACAGGACTAGCTCTTAGCACACCTTATTCGTGTGCCTAATCCATCAGCTATCACTCATCTGCAGTCACAAGAGCTTAATTGCCCTGGAGGGGCCACCAGGGGCCACCTGGCACCCACAGCAGGGGACGAAGCTGTGGGGCGCAGAGGAGGGAAGAGCGGTGTCAAAACCAGCCAGCAGTACGTACCCAACCACTGCCCGGAGGCATCGAACACATACTTCACACTCGCAGCAGGATGTAACTCATTCATCATTATAATAGAGAATTTATCGGAGCATCCATCCAAAAAATAAAAAATAAAAAAAAAATAAAAAATACAACCAGGCTGCACCTGCAACTACACTTCATGTCATTTTGGAAAATGAGATATCTCATGAACAAACTGTTTCTATTCTGTAGAAATCCAAAACAAACCATTTCAACATTAAATAAACCAAATTCCACTTGATGGATTGCATTATGATGGAATTTCCCTCAACATGGTGAATCAGCCAAATGTCATGTTCTGGAGTTACATGGCACAGTTCCTCCATCGGAGAAGTAACAGAGTTCCCCCTCCAGGGTCTACATATCAAAGCATTTCCCCCCCAGTCTAATTACCCTATCATGGACTTGGCAGGTGCAAGCTGGCTGGATTGGAACAAAGCCAACCCCCATATATCAGGGCAACTTTAAAAGATGACCCAGCGAGCCACTGTAGCTGCAATCCGATCCGTGTGACGCGTGCAATCGTTTGACTGTGATGTGTGTCAATTCTCACAAGGACGGGATGCTGCCAAGAAGCCCCATTTAACGAGGTCTGTCCTCCCTGCAAAAGGAACATACGCATGACCCAGAACACGGATTTCTGGTCTATGTGGCATCAATGTGATCCATGTAGGTGCAGTTTATTTGGGTCATACATCGCAACTTTTAATAACAGTTTCTTTCTGTCCAGCCTTCTACTGAACAGCTGTGTAGAGTTTGCTGTATCGGAAGATGGCTGCAATTAGAGCCGCAACAATTTGTCAATTAATCAATAAGTCACTTTTCAAGCATGAATGCCAACGGTTCCTGGTTCTCAAAATGAATGTGCTACTCTTCTTGGTCTGATAGCAAATGTACTTATTCTGTGGGGGTTTGGACTGTTGGTCTGACGAAAGAAGACATTTGAAGACTAGGATCGTGTGAAAGGTATTTTAGACCACATGATTAATCAATAACACTGTTAGGCAGACTAGTTTATAATGAAAATAATAGTTAGTAGCCTTAGTTTGCAGTGACAGAAAATGATTCACTTTTATCCAGATCAATGTTGCTGTGATGTGCAGAATGGGAGAGTGGGTCCAAGGCATTCATACATTGTTTTATGGTGTGTTCCTCAGGCATGTGTACTCATACATCACAAAGTGAACATTACATTGCCCACATTTTACACGGGGTTCGGTGTTTAACGCCATCTCCAGAGAAGAACGTGCCAAGAAACACTCTTGTAGACTTAATTGGAGCAAGAACATTGGAGAAACTCACCGGCCACGCGAACTGGAACGGGATCAAAATCTTGCCTCCGTTGTCGAATTTATTCGGGTTATTCTTTGCGCTCTTAAAAGAAAACGTATTTCCACCGAGAACTTGCGTAGATCCTGCTCCGAACGTGCACGAGCCGGTGGTGGTGACCTCCATCTGGAACTCTTTCAGGCAGATTTTGAAGTAAGTGTCGCACTCGTCTTGAGTGCAGCGCAGGTCCTGGGAGCTCCTGGAGCCGTCGCAGCACTCCCCGTCCGCCAACTCGCCGTTTACATTCGCCACGGTGATCAGCTGCAGCTCGAAATAGCCGGTTGACTGGGACACCTAGGAAGAAAAAAAAAAAAAAAAAAAAAAGAAGACCCAATTTAAACACAGGCCTGTGTATTCACAGGCTGCAGCATGGTGTTTGGGTTGCTCAAATTGGTGCGTAAAAAACGGACAAGTGGCCAAGCAGTGCCTGACTCTCAATTTAAAAATCATACAAACATATTCAGATTGGGTGGACAATCCAAAAATAATGTGTTGCATCGTGAATAGAGCACGTGAACAGCCTATAGTGGCAGGCTGGGGATTTTAGACAATCGGGTTACTCTGACGGGAGCAAATTACGCGCTGCAGCACTCAATTGATGCAATGCAATTTACAACTTCTTGGTTCAGGCCTAATTCCCCCCCCCCAAAAAAAAAAGAAACGTACAGAGCTCTCAGGATTGTAACCAAAATGGAGAGAAGCCTGTATCAATTCCTCAGACTTGTCTTTTCATGGTAACAGGATCAAATGCTCCACTACTGACGGCTACGTAATTCAATTATCGATTAATGTGAATATGCAACGCCGGAGAGCGAATACGCTAATCTGCCCACGCCCACCAACTTTTGACATTTGCTATTTTTTTTTTTTTTTTTTTTAAACATTTATTTTATTTGGCGTGGAGCAGCGTGAAAATAATTTGGGAATAAAAAAAAAATAAATAATGAGCCCTCTTACCTCCGTCCATAACGTCAACAGCAGGCACAATATTGGGAAGCGATTCCTAATCCTGGTGCGATTCCACATGCCTCCGATTAATTAGAGTGACATACGGGGGGGGGGGGGGAGAAGCGATAAGAAAAGACAAACAGCCGCGGAACCGGCGACTAGTTCCTCCTCTCCTGACATGCAAAAATAAAAATATTCACATGCGCGTTTTCTCCACCGTGTACGTCCAGATTTCAGCGAGGCATTACATGCGTGTGTGTGCGTGAGCAGGCGGCGGATTGCAGCGCAGTGATGGTCCATGTACAGGAGTGTCCCTCCGTCAAATCTCTCCACACAGCAACTGAGATGTTCCGTAGCCACAGCCTGAGGAGAGGATGTCTGCTTTGATTGGCAGCTCCGCAAACCACTTACAAATTGGCCTGCGGGCAGTCTCTGAGCCAACCGGATTAAGGGGCGGACAATCGTATACTAACCCCCACCGACCCTCCTCCCCCTCCTCCTCCTCCCAAAACTTGAATTATATGGTGGGTTTGTATTGAGCTTCATTTGGACAAGCCGCGTTACAGCATGCGAACAAAGCAGGGGTCCACTTTAATTAAACGCGCCCGCAAAGACATTATGATGAGCAGGGCTATTATTTCAAACGAGGATCTCATCGGCGCTGCTTTGAATTTAATTACAGCCAAAGACAAATTTGGATGACTGTTTGCTTTTTTTTCTTTCCTTTTTTTAACATCAGGCGCCATTAATTCAAAGCATTTAATTTATCAACAAACCTTTGAAAAACAACAGTCCTTCCAGTAGACTGAATTTCTGAGGTCAAATTGTACTCATTTCTAGTGACTGACATGTGATTAGATTATGATAACGTGATTATAGTTAACATTAGATCAATACTTTACACGGGACATTGTTTCTGAATGCCTCTTTGTGTGTTCTTATTTCAAAGCCCACATCCAAATTCATTTTATTCTTAAGCTAGTTGCTTTAATTTAAAATGATGCTTTAAAAAATGACGTTTACTTTCGACTTATTTGTGCTAGGCTTTGATGAGAGTGATTCATATGAATTCATTCAACACCCTGTTCATGGCTGCTGAAAGTAAAACTGCCCCTAACGCACATCACCTAGTCAGTAAAGAGACTCTCCTCAGTTCAACCCCAGACGTTGCAGCAGTTCAGAGCGCCCTCTACTGTCTGTTACTATCTGCTGCTGTATCAACCTAATATCTCAGATTCACAGATAATACAGAACATAGCATATTTATATTAAAACACTTGCAGCTGGTTTGCCTTCAACGAATGATAGTCTGTAGTGTTTGGTAATAAATGGAAACTAATGGCTGTCTGAAGGGGAAGAGAAAATACACAAATCAGCTATAAAAAGAAAAAAATGGTATATTGTTAAAAAATAGCTATAAGAAAGAATTTGGAGTTGGTATTTTCTGCCATATAGCTGGCCTGTTACTCACAGTCTTCACATGTTACACCCTTTAAAGACATGAAAGTGTCAAATAAGTTATGGGGGATATACTTTAATTTATAGGTGAACCAGTACCTCAGAATCAGCTTTATTGGCCATGTACGTGTGCACACATATAAAGATTTTGTCTCTGTTTTCTTGCATCTTCCTCAATGTACTTACATAGAAATAGAAATAACAGCTAGGGACAAGGACAACAAAGCTGGACAGATACAAGTAAAGAATAGACTGTTATGTACATAAGTAATGACAAAAATAGGTGTAAATAGGTGTACTCAGACTAGACGGTGCATTATTCTTATATTTAATGCTAATTTACAGACATTACGATTTGATGTCTTCTCTAGAGTGCCAGAGTATTTTGTCTTTCGTGGACTGCATTTTGCTCGATGACGATCACAGTGAAAAGACAGCAGCTGCATCCAAAACCTCTATTAATCACTTTGACGAAACAATGTGATTCAGTAAGTTGTTTATCTTATTTGCCTCTATGACAAGCTTTTATTATCTATATAAACAGGACGTTTTAACTACTGCAGATGCAGTTAATACAATAATGAACGGGTGAATAAGACACATGCAAATTATGGCTGGTGACAATAACAAAAACTGGCTCAGGTGTAAGTCACATGCATCATGCTACCACTCTGTTTCTGTCAAGGAAAACCAGAGAGAGAAGCTGCCAATCAAAAGGTATGTGACACCCCCCACCCCACCCCACCCAACCCCCCCGCCCTCCGTGTCTCTGTCTCCTTCTCATCAGGCAACTGCCAGACCGTCGGATTCAGATAGGCCTTGAAGGAGGCCGCCGATAGCCTGAGCCACTGCAGCCGCTTTGACTGGAACATTTCACACGCTGTCACAAGTACATGTGAGTGCCTTAAGTTGGATCACACCTAGTAAAGGGCCCTCGGGTGGTGAAGGAACAGTGTGTATGTGTGTGTTGGTGTGCGTCTTAGTGTTGTGACCTGTATTTTTAGCCATGCTAGTGGTGCAGCTGTGTGGATGGCAATGTCTGTACTACTGTTAGATGGAAAGCTTTGACATTACATACAGACATTTATGGTCCCCTGAGGATGAATCCTAATAACTTTGGTGATGCTCTGACCATGAGGTTCACATTTTATGTTTTTTAGTAAAACAACATTTAGTACAGACATGAATGTCCTCCCTCAGGATGGATTGCAATACATTTGGTGATCCTGTGTCGTTTTATCCATCCGTTGTGCTAATTAGCAAATGTTACCATGCAAACACAATGAAATAAGCTGGTGAACATGTTAACGTTACACCTGCTAAACATCCGCATGCTAGCATTGTCATTGTGAGCATATTAGCATGCTGACATTAGCATTTAGCACTAAAAGTACAGCCTCACAGAGACGCTAGCATTGCTGTAGACTTGAATATCAGCTAAAATATATCAATATCTTGTGTTGAACCTGTTTGAAAAAAAAAAGTCACTGCTTACCCCAGAACAGTTTTCAAGTCAAGGTGGAGATGCATGTGTAAAAGCCTTTAGACCTTAATGATTCACTAATATGAGCCTCGAAATTGAAACGGTGACTAATTTTCAAGCGTCTCTCTAAGCCCGAGTGACTCACCAGAAGAACCTCCACACACTTTGCCTTTACATTAAAAATGTCTCTCCAAAAAAACTGAAAATCAAAAAGGAAACATGCAAAATAACAACTCCAGACTTTAGATTTATGTTTATGCGATTCAGTCATATTACACTCACATTAGTCTAATATGGCTCCAAACTATAGCACCTCCCGAATACCAACACCTTCCCAAAGGGCCTCGGGTGGTGTGTGCCTACCTTGTCCTCCTGTTTGCATACATGTGTGTGAGGCGCAGAGAGAGGAGTGTGTGTGTGCAGGAGGAGAAGGGATTATGAGTGGGAGCGCTGTGGGGGGTTTGCCAGCCTCCGGGGGGGGGTGAAGGGGATTTCTTCTCTCATCCATTTTTCATGGCTTTTCTCCTTTCAGATCTCCGGTCTCTGTACATACGGCTGACGGGTCGATTCTCTTTTATCTTTGAGCATCTTTTGGGGGCTCAGTGTGTGCGGGGGGGGGGGGGGGGGGGGGGG